ATTTTAGGTGACAAAGCTCTTTTGATATGGTGATGTAACCTTCTTTCTGTACTTTCTCTTTCTTCTGTGTAATCTGATGTGTTAACATTTTGTTAAACTTTGTTCAATTGTTTTTACTTTGGTGTTACAGGTTTTTGTTGTTTGTGAATCCTGACCTCCAAATTAAGCAGCTGTGACTGTAGTCTCTTTGCGGCTACAAAAGGCATGCAACAGAGTCTGTCAGCCATGGAGAACAGGGAATGAGTGACTTCACTTGTACCAGCTTGGACTTAACCCTCTCATGACAATCCTTTAGGAAAAGTGCCAGATAGCACGTGGTACAAAATACCATCTTTGGTCTCTGATCCCTGCTTGTCTTGACCAGTTTCCTCACTGGCAAATGAGAATCAAATGGGACGTGCCTGGAAGATTTCTTGTGAGGACTGAGGAGTGCTGAGGGTGTGCCTGGCACAAAGCAAGCCCTCCACAAAGACATGCTGCAGGTGTCACTATTAGCATTAGGCCTCAGGAAAAATCACCTAGCAAACTCCCACAAAAGTCACTGCCCCACTCTACAGAGGTGGCAACTGTGGGAGGTCTCTTGTCAGCCTGGCTAGGTCACAGTCCCCAGTCATTTGATCAAGCTAGTATCTAGAAGTTGCCAGGAAGGCATTTTATAGTGAGATTCAAGTCAGCTTTAGGGAAGGTCAGCCTATAGGCTGGGTAAGCCTGCTTCAGTCACTCCATTGCAAAGCTGTAAGGGCCAAGCTGAAGTTTCCCTGAGGAGAAGAAACTCCTGTTGCAGACACCAGCTCCAGCAGGGGCCTAGGCATTCCAGTCTGTTCATGCTGGACTTGCCCAGCCATGGTCCTGTCAGCCACCTTCCTGTGATAACTCTTCATATCCACCTCCTTCTAGCTCTGGTTCTCCGGTTGGTCCATGCTGCATACAGCACCCAGGCCTTGGAGAGGTTAAAGAATTGCCCAGGACCTGCTCAGCAAGAAGCAGGGAATAAGGATTAGAGGAGTCCCACCTGGTTCTAGGCCCTGCACTTCCTCATTAGCTACAGAAGGCCCAGTGGCCTAGCTGAGCCACCAACTCCAGGGACTGAGTAAGCAAAAATAGATTGTGTTTCCACCACCCCAGATGTCCTTGAACCTTATACCTTGGCGACCTCATTGTGCCCAGCATTTCTACCTGTACCCTAGGCGGGAGAAAAATGAGAAAGGCAGAGAATGAAGGGGAGGAGGGAAGTCCTACACTGGGCCATAGCTGTAGCTTCTCAGAAGATCTTTCAGGGAAAGTCTCATTACTTATCTGATGGCTCTATGGGGACTTCATCACTCACAGGGAGCTGTGTGAGCCACATCATCTGCTCTGAGCAGTGAACATGGGCCCTTCCTTGCTTCCCTCCACATGCAAACCCAGGTCCCAGGTGCCAAAAGCCCAGCGAAGGGGCCATAGAAGTGCAAATGACCTTGACTTCCAGTCTTGTTGTGGGTTGGGGCCCCCATACTTGTCTGCACAAGAGCAGTAGAAGTGGATTCCCCAGAAAATAATTAGCACTGTTGCCTAGGTTAGGTGATCCTCTCGCTGTTCCCCCTTGGAAGCAAAGAGCCATTGTGACCTGTCAGGAGACATTTTAGAGCCATACTAGGAAACTGGGATATTACTGCTCTGCTGGGGGCAGAGACTCATTTCCCTCCAATGTCACAGCACATCAGGGCAATCACCCCTACCTCCCAGGACTCTGCCCCAGGTCACCCCTATCCATTGGTCTTAATTGGCACCTACACTAGACAAGATGACTGACAGTGAGTCATGAACATTTTCCAGGTAGTAGAAAGGAGCAGGCCTGGGGGGCATGCAGGTAGCCCTTGCTTTCTCCGCCATACCTCACCAGCCCAGAGCAGGCACTAGGGCTGCTCTAAGTTGCTAGACCTCAACACTCCACCTGAAGGGAAGGAATTGGTGACCCCACTTTTTGAGATGTGCATCAGTTCCTACCATCACAGACCTTGGGGTCTGTGGTGTATTAACTAATGGTCAGCTTGTAAAGCCCAGCTGAACAGAATCATTGTGGTCTGGGCATGGAAGGCCCACCTGAGGATTGCTGCCAATAGACATAAAAAGAGAACTGGAGGGGAAGATTAGGGGCTATTGATTTTCTAGGAGAAGCATGCTGTGGCTGGTTTTCCTAATGTAGACTTGACTGTTCTTATCCAGGCCTCACTGTCACTGGGGATGGCTGCTGTTTTCCTCAGGGAAGCTCTGATCTTCACAGTGAGCATCACTTCCTGGCTAGTGTGGATCCCTCAACCTGGTGGCACAAATCCATCAACCTTCACCCACCTGCTTCCACCACCGTCCTTTAGGTCTTCCGGGTGCAGATCCTCAATATGGACAAGTATGAGACACTGCCGTGGGCTCCAGGCCACTGGCTGGACTCATGGAGGACTCTGCCTTGTACTCTAGGTTTTAGCTTGACTTGTGTGGGACACTACTGTGAGATCCAGGCCCTTGCCTGGATTCTTTGGGTCTCTAGTGTGCTGCCAATGTCTTGCATTCCTCTGTATTTGACTTTTTAGGTAAATATCATAAAATAATCCTATAAATTATGTGTCCTGTATTAAATGTATTCCCAAAACCCTGACTACAACAGGGTCTGCATAAGAGATGGAGAGCCAGAAGGCCAGAGCTTGCTGGCCCCCACACCCTACCCACCCACTCTTCTAGCACACTTCAATAGAACATTCTGCTTGCCCGCCTCTAGCCCTGCCTGAGAAGCCACCTGCTACAGCCCTAGACAAGGCCCAGCAGGAAGAAGTCAGCCCCAGACAGCCTCAGTGGACCTTCTCAGCCCTGGGAGACTTGGGTCAGGAGGTAGGTAGAGAAGGCAGCAGGAATCCAGCTACCAGGGCCTCCTGTGTCCTGAACCAAACCTAACCTCGCCCTGGAGCCTCCACTCCCTGTTGGAATCACCTTCCCATCTGCTTAATGACTTCTCCTCCCCAGAAGTCTTTGTTCATAGATCGTTTGCCAAAGAGCTGAGCCCTGATTGCCAGTTGTGCACCATAGCTGTCTGGCTGCCTCCACTGAGGTTCCAATCCCCCTTCCCTTCCCTTCCATTTCTTTTCCTTTCCTTTCCTTACTTTACCTTCCTCTGTGCCACACATCACTTTCAGACTATCATTTTTATGCTTAAATATTTAGCATTTTACCCCACCATGGAATATGAACTCCTTAAAGCATTTAGATGCCTAACATTCACTTATGTGTCCAATATATAATAGCTTTCAATAACTATTTTGTGAATGAATCAAGATTTTTAATGGGGTCCAAAATTGAGCCTGCCTTAGCAGATACTCAATAAACACATGGCTTTGTATCAAGGGACTGGGCATGTGATAAACATATGCATGAAATCTAATCTGCATTTTGCCAATTAATTATCTTGGTATATTTGGGATTCAATATTTGATCAGCATCAGGGTCTCTTCCCTGCATGACACTTGGCATAGTTTTTCAGCCTACCTGGTACACAAAACAAGGACTTCTGTGTGGACCTATAACTGTTGGGTAATGCACAGATGAACTCAAGTTAATGTTTGTAAATTTTCGGCAAGGGGAATTGAAACACAGTATGCACACAGCTTCCCTTTATACATGTGTGTCATTGCATACATGATTCATGGTGGTCAAGCACTAGGACCACAGGAGTCCAGGAAGAGCACTTGAGGAAAGTCTGCTGTATAAAAACCATTCATCACACTGGGCCTGGCGATCAGTCATAGTAGCTCACTTCATTGGGCAATTACTGCTATCTTCTTATTTGATGATGTTTGTCTATTTGCAGATGAGGAAAGGGCCAAAGAACCCAAGGACAGTCCATGGTAGAACTCACTAAGTTCCTTGTCAGAGTCATTAATCACCACAAAATAAAGAAGTTCCTGAGATGGCTCATTCTGTAGCAGGACACAGAAGTGCCCATGAGACAAGAAGCTCTATGGAAAACTGGCCCCTGAGATCTGGAATATCTACTTTTATGGCTTTTGATTATGAACTTTTCACTTCCAGAAAGGTAAACCTTGTGGTCTTTACAAGTCACTGCTAGTCAAGAGTCATGAGGCCTCTTTGTCACCTTGGTTTCAATCACCCAAAATTATATACAACTACCTTCCCCTCTGGGGTCCCCATCATGTCCCCCAGGGTGAATATTGTGTTTCCCTGCTGTGCGTGCGTGTGTGTGTGTGTGTGTGTGTGTGTGGTGTGATTCTTCTGGCTTGCATGAGACCATTAGAAGTATACCTTGCACATGTGGCAATAGTCTGAACCTCAGTAACCCTGACTTTGAGAGCACAATGCTACATTAGAAATGGAATGGGGGGAAAATATGTTACCATTGTAACCAGGTGAGACCAAGGTGATTTGGTGGGGAAGAGAGGGGAATGGCATCAGATTCTAGAAATAGAGTGAAAGTAAAACCAACAGAATTTCCTGAGAGATCAGATTTGGAGTGGAAAAGAGAGGAGTCAATAATCCTAAGTTCTTCTGTCTGGATAGCACAAAGGTAAAAATGGGGGCCACACGATTCTCAGTTTTTGAACTAAGAATCTTTTTCCAGAAAAGAAAAAAATGCAACATAGAGAGCCCCAGTTCAGCTAAGGTCAAATGCTCTTTTGATTTGGTTTCCTCTCCTCCTCTCCCCTGAAAGGATGCTTGTCTACCCTCTAGGTCCTACCTCTGCATCCAGCTGCCCCAAATCACACAGTAATGAGGCAATGTTCCAGAAGAGGGTTTTCGTGTTTTCAGAAAAATCTCTTCCTTTTCCAGGAAAAAAAGGTGTCTAAACAGGGTTATGCCATGGGGAAGACACACAGCCAGCCTGATGGGCCACAGGGCTGCTGCCTTGGGCTCTGCTCTTGGACTGTGGCCCAACTGCTGTCTAGGAGAGGCTGGGTTAAAGCAGCCCCAATACAACCCTCCTCTGAGTGAAGACCAAGACAGTCGCAAATGTGCCATACAGATTTTAATGGACAAAGAGAAAATGTAAAAGTACATTTTACAACACTGCAGTAAATGATTCCTCCTGTAAAGTCACCATAAAATGTATACGGAGTTGTTTAAAGCATTCATTACAAAAGGAAAGTGCGATCCCTTGCACAAGGTATGTATTTTACATAAGCTGGATGTCTACAAAGATAAGTAAACATTTGGTGACACAGGATTTTGTTTTCTCATTGTTCAGGAAAGCTACAATAATAAATATACCTGATATTCACTTGATGGTGGTTGCATTCTGTTAAGCTTCAGAATGGCAATCTAAGGCCATTTGTGAAGACACCGTCTCTGCTCAGACCAAGGCAGAGAGGACACACACAGGAACATACAGGGCAGCAAAGGCCTCTTTGAATCTGCTTCGCTGTAGTCACACTGGAATGGTTGTTTTTATCAAGTCTGGTGCAGAGTCCCACCAAGGCCTGAGACTTCCACCTCAGTTGAACTGAGCATCTAAAGCCACTTTCCCACCACCTGGAAAGAGGCTTGGGACAAACCATAGGATGGTCACACTGGTCCCTAGGGTAACCGGATCCCATTTCTTGCAAAACTGTCCTGGAGTCCACCCATGCCTCACCACTGCCACCACCAAGCTGTGTTTGGGCAGGCCTCCAGCAGCTTCACCATCCGAACCAATCCCCAGTCCTCTCACCGCACTGCACACTGATGTCCAGCAATTTTTAAAAAACTACAAAACACAACACACAAATACAGAGACTCAGAGATATCCAAAGAATGCATACACACACACACACACACACACACACACACACACAAATGCACCCCAAATGATTATGTGAAGGTCCACACTCCCATGCGCCCAACCCCCTAGAATAACCCCCTTTGTGAGTATAGGCCAGTCATTTTAATGGGTATAAGTTTGACAGCAATTCAAGTTTAATTTCTATGCCTGGGGTCATAAATGATTTTCTTTCTTGCTTTTTGATTTCCCAAAGTACAGGATGAACATTTAGCTGAAGTTTAAATTGTATATCTAAGAGAGATTATCAGCAATTTGTTGGCCTATAGGAATAGACTAGAAACTCTTTCTCCTAGTTAATCAACTTGGTAGTTTAAATTCTGCCTATCATCTTTGGTGTCTTTGTCCCTTTTTCCCTATGTGTTTTTAATTGCAAATCTTCTCATCAGTGTTTTGGACATAACAAGATATCTTCACATCTCCCAGCTGGGCTTGATCTGTTCCCCTACTTAAATCTTGCTGGTGATGTCCCTAGTGTCACCTAGTTCAATGCAGAGTCTATTTGGTGGAGATTTCTGATAAGTCAGGAGTGGGCTCAGATGACCTTGTAAGGGCCTTCCCAGCCAAAAACCAGCTGTCACAATGCTATTTGTGGACTGAATAAGCAAATATATAATTAGCCCTTTTTAGGAGTATGTGCTTCTCTGAGGAGCCATCAAATTATAGAGAAATCTTGCTAATTGTGGGTTCTGCTTCATTGGGTTCCCACTAATCACATTTTTATTTTCATTAGATTTTTGTTTCTCTACCCAACTTTTAAGATTTAGCTCAAGAAAATGAAACAATCATTGAGACATGTTCTGGTTCCATGCATGATGTAAGACCTCAGAAGTACATGATCTAATGACCATCTAACTCCACGGTGGCCTCGCTGTGGCTGACCCACAGGTGCTCCACCTGCACTGCAAGGAACTGTGGGACCATTGCATGCACCAGCCACTGCTGCACAAAGAAAGGGGTGCTGTGGAGCCTCCAGGCCCCACCACTACAGCTCACTACTCATCCTCTTTAGGTGAAGGAAGGTAAGGATTTACCTCATGGGAAGGTGGGCTCTGGCTCACCGGCAAATACCCCCACCCATGTTCACCCCCACCCCATTGTCCAAGCACCTGGCTAATGCTGATTACTGGAGCCCAATTGATGGGGGGCACCCATCAAAAGAAGAGTTCAAGGGGCAGGGCAGAAACATGACTTCTCAGTGAGAGAAGTGTGTCAGAAAACTTCACCTGGGAAATGGAGCTCCTTGCAGGAGACAAATTAGCCCCAACCTAAGAGCCCAGCCCATGCTGGGAGGAGTCAGCCTTGTCACCCCTCCACCCCTTCCCACCAAAATGCCAACCAAGAGTCTCACACTGATTTCATTTATCTACAGTACCTGTCTGGTAGAGGTCTGTTTCTCACCTGGTCAACCATCTTTTGCAGAAGAGGGCAAGAAGTGACTTGTCATGGCCACACAACCTGATTATATATGAAGAAGGAAGGGAAGCCAGAGCAGAGGCTCAGCGTCCCCATCACCCACTGCCAGACTTTGAGAGGTCAAGGCTTATGGCTGAAGTGTACAAAACCTCCTGAAAATCAGCCACACTCTGGATGATCAAGGTCTCCAAGCAACCCAGCTAGAATCTCAAGTCCAGAGTGAAGAGCCGAAAGGTATACAGGAAACTATAAAGACTAAAAACTTCTCAAATAAGACTCCTTGCCCCTTGAACACTTCTTCCTGTCCTCTATCTCCAATTTCCTCTCCTCTGCTTCATTGGGTTCCCACTAATCACATTTTTATTTTCATTAGATTTTTGTTTCTCTACCCAACTTTTAAGATTTAGCTCAAGAAAATGAAACAATCATTGAGACATGTTCTGGTTCCATGCATGATGTAAGACCCTCTTGGGAGGGTCTTTGCCCTGTAATAATTGTCACCATGTCAAGGGTGACAGAAGGCCAGCCGCACCCAGATTCCCACTGACCTCTATTTGTCCCACACTTCCTTTCGTACAAATCTGGGCGGACACTGCAGGCAGATTCCCAGCCCTGTGTCCCAGAAGGTTGTTCACACCAATATCTGCAAGATGGATTGCGCCCCATCCTTCTGCAGCAATCCCACCCCTCCAAGTCCTTCCTTCACAGATGGGCATGTTCACCCGGATCACAGGTTTGAGCATCACCGTCCTCTCTGTCGTCCTCAGATCTACCTCCCAGGAAGGGTGAACTGCCCAGGTTCACACATGTAGGCTGGAGGGGTCCAGTGAAGCCCTTCGTCCTGTGCAGAGGCCTTGGCAGGCTTCCAGATGGCCTGCCAGCCTGCCCGTCGTGCCAGAGAACTCACTACCGTCAGCCTCCGTGTGCCCTCTGGGGTCCGATGGTATGGAGAAGAGACGCCTGAGGACAAAGGTCTGCATGGTTAATAATAGTGATCAAATGCCTAGTCTGAACATGGCTCATACCTCAGTTTTATCCATGGTACTTAGCACAGTGCTGGGCTTTTGAACCAAGAGGAGGAACTAGCAGATTCAGTAAACACTCTACTAGCTGTCCTGGAAGTTTCTCCTCTCCAACACCTCCCCATCAGAATCCCTCTCCCCAGCATGAACCCTTCCCCAACTTGACTTACCACCCCTCTCCCTCCAGAGCCATACCCTTATGATCTCCTCTCGTGGTAAAGGGAAAGACCCAGCCCCCAGGAGCCCTCCCTTCTCCCCTCACCGTGTGCTCGTGTGCTCACAGCCGGGACACTTGGCTTGGAGATACAGCTTTGCCACATTCCTGGGATTCACCAGCCCATTTCCCAAGTGGAGCGCCCTTGCCACCCTCAGCCCCAGCAAGTAGACCACATGTGCAGGGGGTGGTGACGGCTTCATTTGTGCAACGCTGTAGCGTGTGGGGGTCTGCAAGTCCCTGGGTGGTACAGGCCCCAGCAAAGCAAAGGTGAGCTGGGCTGAGTGACCCTTGAGGGTAGAGAGGACATGCTTCCCTGGGAAACAAAGGGAGCACTGGCACAGTGTCTGGCACAGAGCAGGTGCCCAGGAGACACCACCATAGCTATTTCTCCCAGGCACCCTGAGCACAGGGTGTATTTATAACCTCCAAATCAAAGGCAGGGAAACCAAAGCCTAGAGGAGCAAGACCACCAACCACCGTGAATGGCAGAGGGAGGTGCCAGGTGTATATGATGTCAAGGCTCGGCTGGCTCCCTCTACGTATTTGCTGTTCCATGAGGGGACAAGAGCCATGTGCTCCTGCCTCGCCAGAGGTAGCGGAATGAAAAGGGGTAGTGCAGGGCTACTGAGAGGTGGGACCTGTGTCACTCACTCAGCATGTCCCCACAACTGCTTGGCCTCCACCAAGTGTACTGCCAGAAGAAAATGGCTCTGACTCAGCCCAGTTCCCTCATGACATTCCCACCACAGGCCCGCCTCCTGCAAGGCACAGTGTCCCAAGCATGCTTCTATAGGGTGAAGATGTATTGGCTACCACTTTACAGGAAGTGCCTAGCTGTGGACAACACCTGGCCCTATTTCATACATGGCCTCCAGGCACATGCACACAAACACCTAGTGACAGGTTTTTCAGAGTGGTTTCTGGAGACTTGTACTGAACTACCTCTCTCCACTCAGGCAGTTGTGAGCATGCCTCTGTGATAGCAATGTAGATGCAGGAAATCTAGTTGTCTCTTTCCTGCCCATGGTCATACACCCCCATCTGTTTGGCCCAACACTCACTGCTCCTAAGCTTGGGGACCTGGGAGGTTTGCTTCACAGCATGTAATTGTCAATCTAGGATACAAACAAGAACTGGGGGAGTCAAGAGGGGTACATGGCTAATTTACCAGGGGCTAAAGTGTCAGGAGAGACTGAAAGGAGCAGCAAGATGCTTGTCTCCACTTGTGCACTGCTGAGTGGCAGAGGAATCTGTATGGGCCCAGTTCCCTGACCAAGAGGAAAGGTGATGGCCACAGCTGGTATGTTTCATGAGGCCATCCTAGAATGCTCTGCCCTAGCACTTGCCAAGGCAAACATCCCAAAGACAGATCACAACAGCAACCCTTAATGGCCAGGGGCAGTGGCATCATCCTAGACCATATCTTGGGGATAATGAATGAGAAGGGTGTGGTAGGCACTGCCATTCTTGGAGCTGGTAGGGGCAAAGACAGCCCGAATGGCTTGCAGGGACCCTCACAAAAATCAGTCTGTGCTTCCTGTCTACATGTAGCTGGACCATCCCCACACGTGTTTGGGGGCAGTGTGCTGATGCTCGCCCCGCACAGAAGAGGTCTCTGGGAGAGGCCAGAAATCTGAAGCCTGCTCAGGCTTCGGCTGTGAGACCCAGCATCCATGGACGCCTCTCTCGAAGCTGTAGTTAGTTCCCCTAACAGAGGAAAACAACATTTAATATGACTTATTTATTCACAATGAAAGCAGTAACCACAGAGGTCCCCAGAGAGACAGACATAAGTGCATAAATCATAGCTACACAACAGCAACTATAGTATTTTCTTGCCAACAGGTCCTCAACCTGAGGGAACAAGCAGACAAAAGCAGGGCATTCTACAAGACTATGGGCCTGGACTCTTCAAAAATATCAACATCAAAAGACAAAAACAGTGAGGGAGATGCCCTCAATTGGGGGGGTCTGGGACAACAAGACAAGCAGGTCTGGGACATGTTCTTGGATGGCATCTTAGATTCACAAAAAGCTCTGCAGGATATTTTGGGGCCACTTGGGGGAATCTTTACGTACAGATTATATTAGATAATATATGCTACTAAATTTCTTAGGTGTGACAATGGCACTATGTAGGAGAATGAGCTTGTTCATGAGAGATATACAGTTTTTTCTTTGGCTGAACCACCTAAAAATTGTAAATACGATACTTTATCCTCCAAATGTCTCTGAGTGAGGGTTGAGGGGGAAGGGAAGAGTGGAACAAAGTGTTGAGGCCGTGGGTCTGGGAATAAAGGAGAGGCTCATCGTGCCATTCCTTCAACTTCTCTGCAACTCTGAGATTTTCAAAACAAAGTTGGTAGGGGGATCATGGTCAGAGATTTTTGTTTTCCTGGAGCAGCAACCTCTATCGAGGTGTGGTTACGAAAGAACCACATAAAATGGACTAATGCTCAGCACTCTGGAGAATCCAGAGAGCACTGGGCCTCGGCTCATGTGGTGACCATTGCTTTCTGCCATTGTTTGTGTCTCTTCATCTTCCCAGCTCCCAGTCTCCTGCCAAATGACATTTTTTTGGCTTTCCTCTTGGGGGCTCAACTTTCAAATATGCCCAGCGATCGGAATATCCAGGCCAAATGTCTTTGTGGGTCAAGTTCTTTAGTTCCCACCTATGCTGTCCCACTGTGTGAAGGAGAAAGCTACCAAGGCTCTGGGAGTGAAATGACTTCCAGGAGCCCGGTGAGGCAAGACACAATGTGCTGCCACTCTTTCCTTGCCTGGGATGCTTCTGGGATCCCACGAAGACCATGACTCTGCAGAAAAAAACATTTCACAAGTGTGAGCCCCAAGTCACACCGCTTTAAGAATTAAGCCACACTCACAGATGACAGTGACTGTGATGCTGATTGGAGGACACGTTCCAACATCCATCTCAGATCTTAAGCTTCTGTGGATGCCCTTCCTGGGCAATGCAGTTAGGGTTTATCATAAAAAGAATACAAGAGAAAAGAGGCTGGAAGCCTCAGAGATTAGTGATCACTTTCACCTCTCATCTTCCTCTTCCAATCAATGCACACAGGCAGTGGAGTTCTCTAACTCTGTTCTCTCCACTGTCTAGCTGCAAATGCTTGTGTCCAAGGGGACACAGGACCCCGTGGGCATTCAGATCTGGAGGAAGCAGAGAAAAATGACCTGCTGAGGTTATCTGTTGTTTCTTAGTTACTCTCCAGATGTTTTCCATCAAGTCCCTGTGCACAGACAACAAACTGGTGAGCTGAGATGAATCCTGCTCCCCCTCGTCAGAGTAGGCTTCTAACAAGTGTTCCCAGGAGGCTCTTCTAGGTAGCAATCTGTATCCATTTACTTCCTCCCCTGGAAGGATAAGGGATCCAGGGGCCTCTTGGGTAGCAAATGCTCTTCTGTGCTCATGCCTAAGCACAGGCCACCCTTTCAACCAGCAGGGCACACTGGGAACAAAACAGTCCTGTGAAGACAGTGATCAAATTTAGAGCTCAGGGAGGTTGCTGGGCTTAGAGGCTGCTGCCTTTGTTTCATGATAGAGTGGTGTAAGTGGAAAGAACAGAGCTGCTCCCAGCTCTGGGACTAACCAGGAATCTCAGAACTCAGAGAGGTTGGTACACACCTCTGTAAAGAATCTAACAGGCTGACGGTCAACACAGCACCTTCTGCCTGGTATGGTGCTGTTGAGGATTGAAACGGGATGCTCTCTATAAAGCAATGAGCCCAGGGCTCCAGGATAAGCAATACTGCTGCCCACCTTCTTCCTGTCTTTGATGGAGTAAAGATGGAGATCTCTTAGTGGAAAAGAGTTCAAGTGAGAGTCAGAAATCTCATTAAGTATATACAAGGCATGGTGACTTCTGGAAGATGAGGCAACCTCCTGTGTTTCTGATAGAACGCGACTCTGCCTGAGCAGGTCCTGACAGAAGCTGAAGCCCAGTCAGTCACACAACCCATGTGCTTTCATCACCCTGGCTGGATGGGTGTGGTTAACTGGAGGAAGAGTACAGAGTTCACCGGGTAGGAGGAAAGTACCAAGTTCACAAGGGAGGAAGAGAGACCAGAAACATGAAAAAGTCCAGCAACAAGGCATCTTTGGAAGGCTGTACACAAGAGCAACGACAAAAGCAGCCAGGACAACAGTAGAAAGTGTAACAAGGGTGAAGACCCAGATTCTGGCCACTTGACTTCATACAGTGTTCACCTCTCTGAACTTGGTCTCCTCCCCTAAAGAAAAAGGAGACCAACAGGATAATGCAGTCTAAGCTTTGCTGGCTTGGAGGCTTCCTGATTCAACCACTGACTATGGTGGTGCCAGCAGAGATGTCCCCCTCCTGTCACATCAACGGCCATTATCCCTGGAGATCTTGACTGCCTCTGCCCCCACCCCAAGAACATTTGCTGGATGTTTCCAGGTCCTCCTTGGCAAGGTCCCACCAAGGGGAACAGAAAGACCATATGAGAAAAAGATCCACTCCCTGGGGAAGGAAACCATGTCCTACACACTACAAATCTATCCTTGGAAAAGAAGATTTGGTGTTCACCCTTCAGAGGGCTGAGCAGGCAGCAGAAGACACCACAGGGGCACAGAATCAAGACAAGGTGTAAGTTGTTCCAATTCTCCACTACTCAAATTGTCATCACCGGAGGAGAAAGAAAGTGTTCATACCATTTTGCTGCAAAGAAGGGAGTCAATTCTGTGAAAACATAGAGAATGTTTTCTATGTTTCCCTGGGAAGAGAGATGCTCCCTGCCATGTGAAGCATTCAAGCAGAATGGTCACTGCATGACCACCTTGCGCAGATATTTCAGTAGGAAACCAGTTCTGGAGGGAGGGTAGAGCAGTGTCCCTCTGACTGACTCCAAGGGCCTAGCATGCACCCCTGTGGAGGCACAGAAGCAGAATCCCTCATAAAAGGGCTAAGTTGGGACCCCTTGGTGTGGAGGAGTCAGCATTTTGGACCTTTATGGGATTGGGACTGAGACTATGGTCTCAGTTCTGTCAGAGATCAGCTCTGTAATATGGAGCAAATCCTTCATCCTCTCAGTGCCATGTGCAGATCAAAGATTATCACACACACCCCCCATTTGAGAGCAAATCTTACAAAGGTTTTCCAGAGAACTCCTACACGTATTCCAGGCAGCTTCCTCCAAAGCATAAAGTACTCTGCAAATATGCATTCATATTTTTACACCTATGTATGACCTCCTACAGCCAACACTCTCTTCAGAGAGGAAACAATTCAACAAGAGCAACCATTTCTATCCTCTGGACACACTTCAGAGCCCTAGGTAGGGCGCTCCATAAAACGAGATCTGGAAAACGAGTGAACTCATAAAGACCTTGAAGGCTGATCACTGTCAACTTTGGCCAAGAGAGTCTAAGGTTCACAGACTCTTTCCGAAGGTCCTGTGTCCTAGACGAAGGGGACATTTCAACACAGGGTGTAGCATTAAAGTGCATGCATAGCCTTTCCAGAGGAGTCTTGAATGCTCCTGGTTTCAGCCCAATGGCCCACATACTTGGGACTGGTGGCATTTGGGTGTTGTCTCCTTTAGGAAATCCCGGAGGCCAGTAAACGTGCTCTTTCTGCGTAGTGCAGCCAAAGCCCATCCGGTCCAGGAGCAGGAACTTCCGATGTACAAAAGGGGAGTTGGGGATGAGTGAATGGGTGACTTTTAGAAATGGCAGGGATGATGATGAGAGAAATTAAAGTCCCCTCAGTGAATGCGGAGGTCAAACTGTCCCTTATTCCTGCCATTGCAAGGGCCTACAATGTGCCATATTCTTTCGCCTAAACTGTCCCCTAAGAGATGAGCAACTCTTCCCTTTGGGGTCACCCCTATTGAGGGTGGGGAGGAATTTCTCCTCTATCTAGACAAAAGCATCCCCTGAGATTGACAAGTTCCCAGTAGGCCAAGATACAGCCTCTAAACTCTTCCTGAGACCAACATGAACTTTCCCCTATTTACAAGTCAAATGCAATTAGAGACAATCTTTCTTGAAATATATACATATATATCTATATATATCTATATCTATCTATAGATATAGAATAGATATAAATATATATAGATATATATCTTTTTTTAAACAAGGAATGCCCTGTCACTTATTAGGAAACCACGCCCACAAACTAATGCCCATTCTCATCCAAGCATTCCAAAACTATAACTCTTATTCACAGGGTAGATGCTACACAAAAGTCGTCGTCGTCATCACCGTCGTCATCGTCATCGTCATTGTCATCGTCATCATCGGTAAGAAGGAAATAATAAAATAGATACTCTGCGGTTCCAACAACTGTCCAGTTTCCCCTGGCATTTCCAGCTGTATGGCAAATTGTTGGAACTGGAGATTATCAAAATTTAAAATGTCTTCAATAAATTAATATTAGTGGCTTTTGACTGTTCCATTGCTCCAGTTTGCTTTCTTGTGTCGATGAAGCGTACCAGTTTTACAAAGTGCATGCTTTTTAAATCTTTTAAACTGGCAAGCTATGGTCATCAATGTTTTCTTACTTACTCACCCACTGGGAAAATGTTAACATAATCTAGAACCTAATGCTTTAAAGCTGCGTTGTAAACCCTGCCTGTGGAACTTACTTAATTTGGCAAGATGGTACCTTAAAACCCTCATGGGTTGTCCCACCTTGTCTGCAAGTAGCCAAAAGCAGGCTATTAACAAAAGCTCATGTGAGGGGGAAGGAAAATGAACTCCTGATACCTTCATCCTGTCACATGAGACACCCGCACACAGAAGCACACACACTCACACTACACACGTGAACACACGGCCACCCAGTCCTCGGGGAGGAAAAGAGAAGGAGTTAGGTGGGACACTCCGCCGGGGACAGCGGAGCAGCTTCGGGGCGGGCATCCTCTCAGCTCTCTCTCTCGGTGGTCTGGTCTCACACCTGTGCTAGGAAAGCCACCCCAGAGAGAGGGGAGGGGCAGGGGAAATGTAAGGCATCCTTTGCTGGGGAGGACGGAAGAAATCCACGCTGCACGCTCAGTTTCAGAGCATGGGCCTCTAGTTTCCCCTCGGGCTGCTCTGCCTGGCTGGGAAGGTGGGGAAAGAAGAAATGAAACCGAGAGAGGGCAGAGGATAGTAATGTTGATGACTGTAAAAATAAAAAAAGATAATAATAATAAAAAGAAAGAAAGAAAGAAGGGAAGTCGAGTTGGGCCAATGGAACTTACAGCCACATGACAAATGACTCTTCCGTTTCTACTCCCTCCCCACACTTAGACGGACTTCCGGCGCCGCATCAGCCTGTGGTTGTCGCCGAAGCTGTGCAGGCCAGGCGAGACGGAGCTGATGGGGGACGGGAAGAGGCTGTTCTTCAGTGTGCTTGGCGAGATCTCCTCCACCCTGCAGGAGATGGAGTGCAGCGGCTGCGGGGCAAGCGTGGCGCCGAAGTTCTGCGGCTGCGAGCGGTAGCAGGCGCAGGAGCACACGGACTGCAGGTCGCCGCCCTCGCCGCCCCGGGACCTCGGGCGCACCTGCACCTGCCGCACCTCCCCGGAGATGTGGGCCACCACGCTGCTCGGGTTGCCTGGGAGGGCTGCCGCCTCCTCGGCTTCCCGCTCCTCGTCGCTGTTCATGGTCAGGAACCGGAGGACCACCAGGTTGAGGAAGGCCCCGATGACCGTCAGCCCCACCAGGATGTACATGAAGCTGAAGGCCACGTAGAAGGGCTTCCTCTGCAGGGCCCCTTTGCTCTGCAGCGCCACGTAGTCTCCGAAGCCTATGGTGGTCAGCGTAATGAAGCAGTAGTAGTAGGCGTGGAAGAAGCTCCACTCCTCACACTGGGAGAAGGCGGCCGCCCCGATGCACAGCGTGCCCATGCAGGAGAAGAAGCCGACCGTCACCATGTTCTCCATGGACACCTCGGTGTTGCGCATGCCGCAGCACTTCTTGATGCGCTTAAGCAGGTACCGGACGAAGGTGTTCATCCGCTCGCCCAGGCTCTGGAACATGACCAGCGTCAGCGGGATGCCTAGCACGGCGTAGAACATGCAGAAGGCCTTGCCTGCGTCGGTTCCCGGGGCTGCGTGCCCATAACCTGCAGAGGACGACAAGAACAGCGACAGCCATCAGGGCGGTCCTGGGGGCCATGGTGTACAGGGGGCAACGGGGGCACTGTGGTGGGGAGGTTGGGGGACCCCTGTGTCCCATGGGCTGACAGAAGAATCAAAGAGAGCCAGGGTCTTGTTGGGGTTCTTTAAAGTCATATGGTAAGGGCAGGTTGAGCATTCCTAATCTGAAACCCAAAAGGCTCCAACATCACAAACTTTTTGAGTGCTAACAGGAGCCACAAGCAGAAAATCTCACAACGTGAAACTTTTTTTTTTTTCCTATGCCAGGTTACTTCAAACATCGTATAAAATGGCCTTGAGGCAAAGCGTACAAGGTGGACATGAAACACAAATGAATTCCGTGTTTAGACCTGGGTCCCAACCCTGAAGGATATTGTTATGTATTTGCAAATATGACAAAAGCTGGTGGGGGCACCAAAATCCTAAACACATCTGTTGCCAAAATTTCGGATAAGGGCTGCTGAGCCTGTAGGGTAACCTGCGAGGGAGACAAGACTCAACCAAGAAATGTGTCTTGGGCTTTGACATCGGGAGCATTTCAGTGCTGTTAGAGCCACACACAGTTTGAAAAAGAAAACAGCCTATTTACACCTAAAAAAACTGCAAAAGCACAAAACCCAAGGGAGAAAATGGAATATGCCCACCATGGATCCACATGAAGAGAGAATATTCAAAGAATAACTGCTGTGTGTCAGGCTCTATGCTGGCTCCTCTAACATATGCAACGCTCGGGCTAAGGGCCTAATGACCCTATAAAATAAGTGTGATCATCCTGATGCTGCTGACAGGAAAACGGAGTTAGTGACTTAATAGTAGGGTAATGACTTTTTCAGACTTGGGATTTGAGCCCAGAGATTTTAGCTGCCAAGAATGAGGCTAAAACCAAGACTTAGCACTGAGAGAGGTAGTGGCAGTGTGAGAATGCAACATAAATACCATGAGAACAAGTGATTTTATTTTATTCACTGCTGCCCCCCCACGTCTAAACAACACGTAAAAGGTAAAATATTTCCCTAACACAGGAGGGCATAAATTTGCACCACTGTGTGGGTAGAAAAGAGGAAACACACAGCCCCTAAAGACCTCGTGTGGGGGGGAACTTTGCAAACTCCTAGTGCAACTTCAAATCTGTCACTGCTCCTCTTCAACATCTGTGCAAAGTTGGGCCCCATTTGCACACACAAGGACAATGGAACTGCAAAGGTAAAGCTTCTGGCAGGGTCAGCCAGCTAGGCCCTGATGATGTGAGGGCCAGGGCAGGATCTCACAATATGGCAAAAAGAACACATGACTCAGTAGATACTGGTTCAAGTTCTAATACTGCCTGGAAAAAAATCCCAGATTGGGGACGATGCTTGAACTGAGATTTTGGAGGATAATCCTAATCTTCCTGCCCTGTCAAAAAGGCTTTACTTATTACCCCCAATCACACACTTAGGTCACTGATTCAGCTTCATGACCTTGGATCCAGAGAACTTCTCAGAACCCAGGTTTCTCCAACTGATACAGGAGATGAGTGTTTCCTGGTAGAGTGTTGGGCACACCTGCTGAGACCAGGACACAGCAGGAGCCTACCAGGCATGACTCCTCTGCCCACCACAGTATCTTCCTGTGCTGGGCCTGGTCATGTAAGGCTCAGTCTGTCTGTCTCTTCCATGGCACAACTGTGTGTCATGACCCATCTGCCCCAGGCCACACACTCAAGAAAGAGATGGTGTTGCACACTTGCCTCCAGGGGTCTTCCTCCTCCTCATCCTCTTCGGCCCTCAATCCCACCACCTCAGTCAGCACTGAGCTCAGGAACTCCAAAGTCCTTCCACAAAGGAAATAGGACACACAATTGCAGCCAAGGAAGAGAGGAATAAAGATTGAGGAAACAAACACATAAAATTGCAGGGACCTAAGAACAATATCAAAAAGTATCCCAGAAAGAAAGGAAAGAATGAGATGGGAAAAAAATGGAAGAAATAATAGATTTTTAAAAGTCACCAAATTTGGTGGTAAAAGACAAATGTACAGATTAAAGAAGCTCATTGAACCCCAAGCAGAAGAAAAACACACCCTGGAGTCAAAATGATGAAAGCCAAAGAGTGGCTTCCTAGAAAGCAGCCAGAAAGACAACACATGGCCCCACAAAGGATGACACCCAACACCACAGACCTCTGAGCATGCACAATGGATCCAGGCAACAGTGGAATGCCATCTTTGAAGAATTAAAAGGAAACACTGTTAGCTCAGAATTCTGTGTCCAAAGAAAATAACCTTCAAGAACAAAGGAAAAAAAGAGGCACTTTAACAAATTGGAGAATTCATCACCAGCAAACTTGTATTGCACGATTACTAAAAAAATGTTCCACCTTGGGGGAGCACTCCAGATGAAAACTCAGGTCTTCAGGAAAGATTGGAGCCCACCATGGTAAACAAGCAGGTAAATATAAAACATGCAGGTGGGAACCCAGTGCATCTCCACACAGTTCACCTGCAGAGCTGATTCAAAAGCCAGATGGATGCTGGGGAACAGCAGTAGATGTTAGAAACTTAATATGCCGTAATGCTAACTGCTCTGGGTGGGATATATTTACTGGAAAAAATCAACACAGCATTTTCTGGGTCAAAAACTAAACACCAGATGCCAGGCTCCCCTGCCTCCCAGCACCACTCCTACCTCATCAGTAAAGAAGATCAGAAACAGTTGCTTTCACAAGGCCTAGAAGGCAGTACCCCTGTAATGTAGGTCCCATCTAAGGTAACAGCCCTTTTCCTGCTCTGACCTACTGCAGAAAGGAAGAGCTTGATCACCTTCACACCCCATGGGACATGTCACTGGTCCATTACACCAACGATGTGCCTTGGAGAGGCATGTGCATCGGAGAGCACAGGAGACAAATGCCACCAAGTTCAAGGACCTGCCACATCAATAAATTTTCCAGCAGCCCAGAGCTCTTGGTATGGGAAGGGCTCCCTCTAAAGTGAGAGAAGCATCAGAGAACTTTCAAGCCCTCTGGAAAGAAGAGGTCTGTGCAAGGCACCCCAGCTTTCCCACCACCACCCTGTGCACTTTCTTTAGCCATGCTGTATGCTGTGAGCTCCAGGAGAGAGTGCTGAGTTCCTCTACTCTGTGGGCTGCTGGGACCAGCACAGAAGAGGCCCTGGGTGTTGAGAAGGACACCTCACTGTACAAAGGATTTCCACTCACCTGGTTGTCATGGGGCCTTGGAAGTGCTTAGCGGGGCTCTCTGACCCGTCCTGGGAGAGGCTGTGCAAAGAAAAAACTACATCCCTCTGCCACAGCCAGCTCACCAAACAAAATAAATAAATAGGTTCTCCCAACCACCAGCAGCATAATAAAACCCTCCTGTCTGTTGAGTCTCTCCCTGCCTAAGAACCAGCAGAGACAGTGTTCCTAGGCAAGGCCCCTGCACTCCCCACCACCTCTTGCAAAATCTCCTGAGAGCAAGAGCACCACCAGGTAGCAGGAGCCTCTGGCCTGGCTCCACCCTGCATAGCCCTTCATTTAGAGACCCTGGGAGTGTCTAGCAGGTTTTCCCACCAGAAAGAGCTGAATAAGATAGCCCGTGCAAGGGGCAGTTGGGACCAGCCTCACTCCTGATTGTCTCTGAATCCCTTCAGACCCCTGGCAGTCTAGGCCAATGGACTCCGGGCTGTAAGTGACCCGTCCAGACTTACACAACACGTCACAGTTTGCATAGCTTTGACACTATGGAGGATAATCTGAAGAGTCCCCCCAATGGGAGCTGAGCCCTGACTGCCACTTTAGGGACCCCCGACTTCCTCTCCCTCTTCCAGCATGTGCTCTGGGACCTCTCTGGGGCCAGGAGAGAGGTGGTGGTAGCTGTCCCCTCCACCTGCAGCTGCATAGGGGACAGACTGCCCCGCACAGAGAAGATGGCCACACCAGCATTTGGACACCAGGAAATTTGCTGCTGGAAGAGAATGAAGTATTTATAAGGGATGTGCAAGGTTTTGCACTGGTAGAAACTGAAAGAGGCAAACTTCAACTGAAGAATGCCTCTCGGTGGTTTTGAGAACTTCTCACTAGAGAGGACAGGTGCCCTTGGGCCCTGGCACATCCTGGTGGGTCCTGTTCCAGTCTGCAACATGCTGTCCTGGCACATGAACTCTGCTCAGCCCCTGAACACACCGCATGATTAAGACCAGGCATCTGCCAATGGCACAAAAGAAAATCCTTTGTGTGCTCCATGCAGAGTGCAGGGGAGGCAGGGGGGATCCCAAGGATGCTCCTAAGGAGGATCAAAGCCTGAAACATCTCCCAATTACTGTGATCCTTGGCACACTGCCTAGATTCTCTAAGCCTTAACGTTCCCTTCCGTGTAGATGAACATGAATGAAGCATTCCCTCCAAGTACACACCATGTTATAAAGCTTTCCTAATTCATTCACCTGTACAAGACATCAGTTGGTGCTTCCCCCCCAGAGCAAGTCGCCCTTCTTACAATACAACAGGACCCCAGTTCCTACTGAGTGCCATCCATGGGATTTAGCCTCCATGCAAGTACAAGAAGTCAATGGTGCATCTCGTGGGCTCTGACTGGGTCCCTGAACCAATGAAGCTTTCTCTGCCGGACTTAAAAGGTGCAAGAGTGTGATGTTGGAGCTGCTGCAATTATTTTAGTATCACGAGAAAAAACCCAACTACAGAGTAAAATGTCCCTGATCTCAAAGGCAAAGAGGCTGTTCTGGCCCTGCCTCTGAGTCAGCCTTACACACAAATGTTTCAGTCCGCCTCCCAATGAATATTTTTATTTCAGCCAGTGTTTTGATTGCAACTCAACATTCAGCTAGGCATATATGCCCTCTAATAGACAGCATGACTGTAAATAATCAGTAACAATGTTGTAACTCACACAACCGTGCATCTCACTGCAAGAGAGCTGGGTTGGAGGTGTTCGCTTCAGTGGCAGAGAGAAGCGGACTCATGACCAGG